TCAGCTACAACGCTCGCTTCGTCCGCTTCAGTTAACCTTATTAAACAAAGATCGCATCTAACATCAGCCTACGCTAATAGAATCAAAGTCGAGGAGTCGGATTACACGCTCTTATCATACATTCATGCGGCTACAAGTGCATGGAGATTATAGATCTCCTTGCGAACTAGATAATAGACCTGTGAAGCACTTCCCTCTAGCTCAACGTTGCCTCCAGCCGATTTTCGCACAGCTACAGACTCCTCAATCGCGTCTGTCCCGGCCATCTTCCCAGCAGCGGTCCCACAAATCAGGATACCTTCTCCAATTAGTTCAGAGGGCACTCCGATTGTAGCTAAACGGGCTTTGAGGGCCGTCAATTTGAGCTCGCCGATCATCGTCGAATGAGGCAGCTCTGCTTTTGCACGGGAGCCTAACATCCGAGGCTCGGTCAATGCCGCGTGCTGCGTCTTCAGTACAGAGGTGTCAGCGACCGGCTCGAGGACTGGAATCGTCGAGTTTGAGTGCGCTACGACGCGGCCAGTGACGTAGCCGACTTCGTTGTCCTCAAAGGTAGACATTTTGAGCGAGTTGAGCAGCTCGTCGCTGATGGAGATGGAGAAGTTGTTCGTTTGATGACCAATTTGAATGCTCTCTCCTTGAGTGGGGAGAAAGATGTCTTTGGTCATCGTGCGGATGTTGGCACAGCTTTCGACGAGATGCTTTGCTGCATCACCGGGCGCATGAACAATGATCTGGTGCGACATGAGACTGTGCGACCCAAAGACTACCACCAACCACGCACCATCTTCCGAGGATTGACCTGAGGGACGATGGTTTTGACTGCCCGTCCGTCATTGAGTCCGTCCATATCTACAAACAACAGTCTGCACGCCATTTGGACCTGGACTACACTGGATATGAACTTTGAAGGTGGTTCCTGCACAATCTGTACATGTGCTAGATCAGCATTATGAGAAGTCATTGACAGACAATGAGCGTGCCTTTGCTTCAAAATTTTTTTTGAAAAAGGCACGCTCATTGTCTGTCAATGACTTCTCATAATGCTGATCTAGCACATGTACAGATTGTGCAGGAACCACCTTCAAAGTTCATATCCAGTGTAGTCCAGGTCCAAATGGCGTGCAGACTGTTGTTTGTAGATATGGACGGACTCAATGACGGACGGGCAGTCAAAACCATCGTCCCTCAGGTCAATCCTCGGAAGATGGTGCGTGGTTGGTGGTAGTCTTTGGGTCGCACAGTCTCATGTCGCACCAGATCATTGTTCATGCGCCCGGTGATGCAGCAAAGCATCTCGTCGAAAGCTGTGCCAACATCCGCACGATGACCAAAGACATCTTTCTCCCCACTCAAGGAGAGAGCATTCAAATTGGTCATCAAACGAACAACTTCTCCATCTCCATCAGCGACGAGCTGCTCAACTCGCTCAAAATGTCTACCTTTGAGGACAACGAAGTCGGCTACGTCACTGGCCGCGTCGTAGCGCACTCAAACTCGACGATTCCAGTCCTCGAGCCGGTCGCTGACACCTCTGTACTGAAGACGCAGCACGCGGCATTGACCGAGCCTCGGATGTTAGGCTCCCGTGCAAAAGCAGAGCTGCCTCATTCGACGATGATCGGCGAGCTCAAATTGACGGCCCTCAAAGCCCGTTTAGCTACAATCGGAGTGCCCTCTGAACTAATTGGAGAAGGTATCCTGATTTGTGGGACCGCTGCTGGGAAGATGGCCGGGACAGACGCGATTGAGGAGTCTGTAGCTGTGCGAAAATCGGCTGGAGGCAACGTTGAGCTAGAGGGAAGTGCTTCACAGGTCTATTATCTAGTTCGCAAGGAGATCTATAATCTCCATGCACTTGTAGCCGCATGAATGTATGATAAAGAGCGTGTAATCCGACTCCTCGACTTTGATTCTATTAGCGTAGGCTGATGTTAGATGCGATCTTTGGTTTAATAAGGTTAACTGAAGCGGACGAAGCGAGCGTTGTAGCTGACATATT